ATTCACCGAGGTGACTGTCCTCGACAGGCGGTTTTCCTCTCCTGCTTTCCACGCTCTCAGGCTTCCATACCTGCCACATAGCATGCACCTGGCAGCCTGCTTACGAAAAGCCACCAATGCCTGCCATTATGCTGCGGTCACCTGCTTCCTTCCCTGGCACGGTGTCTGGTGCTCCCTGCCAGGCTGCCTTGAGTTTTGTGGGGCTTTCCCACAGGCTTTTGTTCTTTGTTTTAATTGAGATATAATCCACATACCATACAATTCACCCACTTAAGGTTTACAATTCCTCCCTCAAGCTTTTTTTTAAAAAAGGCTGTACCTGAAACTGCTTAGGAAGCAAGGACACAAGGCAGTCAGGGTGACCCCCAGGGCTGTCAGTGTGCTGGGGCATCCGATAGGCTGTTGACATCTCCGTAGCAATTGGGTGCTCCCCACCTTGGTGAGGTTTTCAGTTTTGGATCATAACTGGATCCTGTGTGGGTCCTCTGAATATTGTCTTGTTGGTGACAGTGCTGCCTCTGGCATTTGACGGCCTGTGGGTTGGGCAGAGTCACCCCGCAGAGAACTCTGCTGTTTTCCCTGGGCCTTGATTGTGTGTGTGTGTTATGACCTTTGGCATATTGTTAAAAATACCTGCTCCAGGTGTACACCCAGCTGGTTCTGTTTGGTGTGTGCTGGACAAAAGGTGCCCATTACTTATTAAAAAAAAAAAAAGGGTCTACATACCATAAAATCACTCGTTTTAAGTATATGCTCCAAGGATTTTTTTGGTGCATTTTCCAGAGCTGTGCAGCTACCAGCACAATCCAATTTTAGAACATTTTCATCATCCCCTAAAGATCCCTGTAGCCATTTGCAGTCACTCCCCATTCCCACCCCCAGCGCCAGGCAACTGCGGATCTAATTCTTGCCTCTATTGATTTGCCTTTTATGGACATGTCGTATGATTTCATTCATCTGAAATGTCCAGATAAGGTGCTTTTTAACTGGTGATTTAATTGGTGGTTGCTTTCAAATGATAGAGAATTTCTTGCATCAGAATGTGCTTTTTCTGCTGTCCTAGTTACCTGTGATTTATTGGTGTGTGGGGGAGTTCCTCGTGTGTGTGTGTGTGTGTGTGTGTGTGTGTGTGTGTGTGTGTTTTGCACAGTAGCAACCTTTTTTGTCCATAGATTGGTGTTTTGTGGAACATCTGGCTTCATGTCCGTCGCTGTGACATACTTTGGGAGACACAATAGAAGCAGAAATCCTGCACTCTGTGCTTTTGAAGATTATCCTCAGGTGGTGAAGTAACCTTAACAGGAAAACAGCTGGAGAGGAGTAAATGACAACATCCAAGCAAGCGCTGGGCTCTGGGATGCTTTTATTTGAGACGTGTTTATTGAGCACCCTGTGCCAGGCCCTTGTGCTGAGCAGGCGGGGATGGGAGGTGACACGGTGGGTCAGGAGCAGACATGGAATCACGTGGTTATTCCCTTTTCAAGGAGAAAGGCTCCTTTAGATGCGGGTGATACTTCTAGCACTTGTGTATAAAAGCACTTTGCTTTTTTAGAGAAAGCAAAAACCTCTAGCTTTTTGCAAGCAAATGTATCGGGCCGAAATTTTATAACATTGTTTCATTTCCCCTTTACTGGAGCGGGACCCGATTTTGGGGCGCCCTAAAACCCAGGGCCGTCTTGGTGTGCTCAGATGGGAGCTGTGACAAGCGCTGGAGCAGGGGCGTGACCTGAGTTGTGTGTGAAGCTGGGGGATGGGGTGGGGGAACTAGAGTTAGAACTTCTTTCTGAGGTTCTTGTGGCAATTTGAGTGCCCTTGGCCTGCCCTGGCGGATAGTGGACAGGAAGGTGCACGTGAGGGTTGCAGAGGGCACTGATAGGGAACCTCCTTCCCAGCCTCAGTCTCCAGCCCTGACCTTTCAGCGCTAAGCTCCCTTAGCCTGTAGCACGGGGTGGCATCCAGAGAGCTCCTAGAGTCTGGAATTTTTGCCTTTTTTTTTTTCCCCCCCGATACGGAGCCTTGCTCTGTTACCTGGGGTAGAGTGCAGTGGTGTCATCATAGCTCACTGCAACCTCAGACTGCTGGGCTCAGGTGATCCTCCTGCCTCAGCCTCCTGAGTAGCTGGGACTACAGGCCTGCGCCAGGATGCCCAGCTAATTTTTCTATTTTTAGTAAAGACAATATCTTGCTGTTGCTCAGGCTGATCTCAAACTCCTGAGCTCAAAAAATCCTCTTGCCTCGGTCTCCCAGAGTGCTAGGATTACATGTGAGCCACCGTGCCAGGCTATTTTTTTGCCTTTAAAAGTCACGTTTCTATACTGGATGTGCGAGTCTCTGATAATGGGGGCAGGGACAGAATCACGCAACTGAAATACGCTTCAGTGGGCGGCTGGTATCTTTGCTGTTAGATGATGTGTTTCTTTCCGATACAAGGAAGGAAGCGCTAAGTAGTCCTGTTGGCACCCCAGGCTTTGCAGACAGCTCACTGAGGAACTGGGCTGGCAGCTTAGGCTCTGGCTCTGCTCTTGGGGGTCTAGAACGTTGTTGGCCACCTCCTACAGGTATGTGTTTGTCGTGTCCTTTGTTGCAGGATTGCCCTAACAAGCTAACAGCCTTCTGCTTTGTGTTTCAGACTTTTGCCTGGTTTCAAAGGCGGTGGGGAGATGCCGGGCCTCCATGCCCAGGTGGTGGTACAATGTCACTGATGGATCCTGCCAGCAGTTTGTGTATGGAGGCTGCAGAGGAAATGCCAACAATTACCAGAGCAAAGAGGAGTGTCTCAAGAAATGTGCTGGTGTCACAGGTAAGGCGGTGGTAGTGAGGAAATTTTGCTGTTTAGGGGAAATCTATTAATTGGGGTGTGGATGCCTTTTGCTCTTTGCTAGTTCTTCACAGCGGGATCTGGGGGACGTTTTAAAAAGTGGAAGAGTCAGGCGCAGTGCGAAGGTCCCAGGGCCATCCAGTGCTTGCGCGGTGGTACCTTCCTCCTCTTCCTCCCAGAAAGGCGAGCTGGGGGGCAGCGTGACCTGGCCTCTGCCCACTTCCCTTCTCCCACTTCTGAGTGCAGGTTCCACACCAGACCGGGCAGAGGAGGAAGTGGCCTTCCCTTCTGGCGCTGGGGCCTCTCGGTCCACTCAAACAAGGCTGGCCGCAGGCATTTGGGTTATTTTTACTTCTGGGACAAATGTCTTGAATAGCTCACCCCAGCTACGTTACAGGTCAAGTTAAAACAACCATAGGTGCTAGAATCCGTCCTTATTGGCCTTCACCTGCGAGGGGTTCTGTGGAATCAAGGTAACATTGACCCTGAGAGCCTCACAGTTTAAATAAAAACCTACAGCCCCCAGCAGCATGCCCTGGCTCCGAGCCGAGCTATGAAGGACTCCCTGAGAGCTGATGGCAGCGACACGTTGTCCTCAGGGCTGATGCCCCCCGAGTGTTGCAGAGACCGGAGGTTTTAAAGATTTTCGGTGGCACTCTCCCCAATATCAGCACATGACTCCATACATCTTTTCTGGACGACTTGGGGTTGACACTCTAACTGGAAATGACGGTTCTGTGTGGGGTTGATGTGCTGGCGCCCACCACTCCCAACCCTCTTGGCTTCCAGCTGTGCGTTCAGAGATGAGATAAGCTTATGAAAGTTGTGTGTAAAGAGACAAAAACAACAGTGGCCTTGGCCGTGACCTCAGGTTTAAAACATGGCGCAGGAGCACACCAGCCTGGCAGTGACGGAGTGCCGCGAGGAGAATTTTATCTATGTCTCTGTGCCTGGTGCCCAGCAGATACTCGGCAAGCGATTAGAGAGCCAGGGGCCTGGGTATTGTTTCTGGATCATGCAGGCCGTCCCTCACCTTTTAGAGGTAACTGGCAACCTCACCAGACGGTGCCTAAGGAAAATACCATTTATTGTATTTGTGTTTTTCTGTCCAGCAGTGATTTGGTGTGAAATCATGGGGGGAATATTTTTCGCTAGCTTTTCTGTGCCGTCCCAGTCAAGAGGTGACCGTAGCAGATGTGCCTGCCTGTGTTGGTTACTGCTCGTCTCCTCGGGAAGAGAGCTGGCGTTGAGAACTCTTAGACAGCAGGCACTGAGATAGGCTGTCGCTACAGCGGGACGTGGGTTCTCGTGTTTTGCTGGGGGAAGGCAGGTAAGCTGTCTCCCTGGAGGTGGTCCAGAGTCCGGCCCCCATCTCATGGCCCAGAAAGCTCATCGTTGGCATCTGATCGTGAATCCAGTGTGCGTCTCCTGAGGTGCTCTCGCCTGGTGCTCTCGCCTGATCTGCAAAGAGCTAAAACCTGCCAGAGCAATGAGCGCCTGGAGTCCTTTGCCAGCACGTTCTCTTGCAGGCAGGTGGGCTCTGCTGGGAGCCAGATGAGAATGAGAAGACCGGTTTATTAATTTATAATGAGAACCAGAACCACCCCGGGGAATAGACGTGTCTTTGTGCCTGCGCCTTTAGTCCACGGAGGCAAACCTCCCGGCCAAATTGCCGGAAGATTGCTGGGTGAAGAAGGGGGAACGAGGGGAGCTGGTTTGCGAGGTGACTGTTAATGGCAGCAGGGCAGCTGGGGTTCCCTCCCTCCTAGATCAGCTGGCCTCTCCACCCACCTCCTAACTTGCATGTGTGGGAAATACACGTAGCACAACGTTTCTCGTTTGTACCATTTTTAAGTGTACAGTTGAGTGGTGCTGAGTACATTTACACTGTTGTGTACCCTCTTAACTTTCTAATTGTTGAGGTGAGTTGATGCGATTAGACAGATGATTTGGCCCTGGAAGCCATTCTGCCTTTCTGTAGTCGCTCGCTTGTCTTTGCTCTGATTCTCTGCAAGTTCATCTTAAAGTTTAATCCTCAGAGGGCAGTCTTGGTTCCTTATTTCCAAGTTGTGGCGGGCTCGTGGTTTGTCGTGCACATTGAAGGTCCCACTTAAAAGAGAAATGGGAGTTGCCGTGAGAGGCACACAGGACAGACTGACCGGCTCAGATACAGCTCAGTGTTTTCCCACCGGCCAGTCTTGGAGGTGCACTTTCTCACTGCCGTGTTTATCTGTCCCCTTGCAGAGAATTCCATTGATGACTTGGCCGCCAGCAGGAATGGAGCAGATTCCTCTGTCCCGAGTGGTAGGTTCTTAAAAAGACCAGGATGAAGCGAGGGCCACCCAGATGGGTTACAAGTGAAAGGACACTTGTAATTTGGGAATCGTAAGGGTTCCCACCTCCTGGTTCTGTTTACTCAGAGCTGGCCCGGGCTGCCTGCTCTGGCCCCAGTATGCTTACGTGGCAGAGCTCACATGTCCAGCTGACACAAAGGCTGGGATTCTGCAGTGCTTCCTGGCTGGCCCCAGCCTCCTCCTGGAGGACAGGGGATCGAGGTGGCCACTGCTCACGAGGCTCCGGGCCTCTACCTGCTGTGCTGTCTCCCCTCCCCCACCCCGCTTCTCTGTTCTGCCTCCTTTGCTCCTTGTTCCTGTTGCTGTCTCCCTCCCTGAGCTAAAAGTCCTCTGTCCTCTGCCACCCCCGCCTCTCCATTCCACGGCAGAACTTGGTCTCCAGCTTTGTGAGCTTGCTTTGTGGTGCTGGCAGCAGCTGCCCTCTTCCCCATTTATGCTAAGGACTCTGTCGGGAGCCCGGGGCGAGTGGTCCCGATGCGCTGCCCGGTAGCACACGTGCCCTTAGGGGCCCAGCCCTGCTTTCACAGCAGCCAGTCCCCAGGCAGTGGGCTCAGCTGCGCAAGCGAGACCCTCTGTGGAGGGAGGGACACAAACCCCACCCCCGATGGAGGACAGCACTCCCCCTGCAACAAAGGCGTTGGTTGTAGTCTGCTCTGGACCTCTGACTCTGGCACCAGTGCCACGTGAGAGTCAGGGTTTTAGTTCAGTGACTGGTGGAATGCTGGAGAGTTAGGCTAGAGTCGCTTTCCAGGTTTCCTAGGCCGGGAATCCTGCGACTTTCCTGGCATTGCTCTGCCTGGGTCACTGTTGATCTCCTGCCGGCCTCTCCGAGGCATCCAGAGCGATAACTCTGGTTTCCATCCTGTTTAAGAAGAAAATTTCCCCAGGAGGTGCGGGGCCTCCCTGCTGTATCAGAAAGTATGAGCAAGACCGTCTTCCTCATCACACCAGTAACTGGTGGGGATTAGTTTCCATGGTAACCTAAGGAGCCAACAGGGCCTCGCTGACCAGCGTTGGTTCAGTGTGTGCTTTAGAGCCCATCAGCGCAGGGGAGGGGTGACAGCAAAGCTGCCGCTGCCCACGGAAGGGGCTCCACACGTTTCCTCAAAGGTGCTGGTGTGTCCACACCCCTCCGTGGGCCCTGTAGAGTCAGCCCCAGCTAGGCCACATGTCCTGTGTCTGTCCCAGCCTCCCTGACACAGATGTTTGTGTTTCAGTTCCCAGAGGACAGGATTCTGATGATCTCTCCAGCGATATTTTCAACTATGAAGGTATAACTAAAAAATAATTTTAATGTGGGGCAAAACGGGTTTTCTTAGTTGAGGACTGAGAGGCGCTCGTGGATTTCCATTAAGGAAATTGTGGAGCAGGACTCTTACCTTCCCAGGGGGTGGCACTGGGGGGTTAGACTCAGCCTCGCATGGCTGCCCCCAACCTGCAGGGAGCGGGGTGTGCCAGCGGAGAAGTTTTGCTTTAGGGGGCAGCATAGTGCATGGTTCTGGAATTTACCACTGTACCTCTCAGCAGCTGTGTGGCTGTGGACAAGTGACTGTAGCTCTCAGAGCTGCCATGCCTAAAATGAGGGTCCCCGGATGCATTTCATAGAGACTGAGTCAATACATGTACATTGCCTGGAACAGTACCTGGCATAGGGGAACTGCCAGATTAACACAATCTTTTATTATTATTATTATAGTTATTTTAAATTTTATTTTATTTTTTTGAGACAAGGTCTTCCTCTTCCGGGCTAGAGTGCAGTGGCGTCATCATAGCTCACTGCAACCTCAGACTCCTGGGCTCAGGTGATCCTCCTGCCTCAGCCTCTCAAACACAGTCTAGGCTCTAGAGAAGATATTTGGAAATGTGGGCCGGGCACAGTGGCTGACACCTGTAATCCTAGCACTCTGGGAGGCCGAGGCAGGAGGATCGCTTGAGGTCAGGAGTTCGAAACCTGCCTGAGCAAGAGCGAGACCCCATCTCTACTAAAAATAGAAATTAGCCAGACAACTAAAGAGAAAGAAAAATTAGCTGGGTGTGGTGGTACACGCCTACAGTCCCAGCTACTAGGGAGGCTGAGGCAGGAGGATCGCTTGAGCCCAGGAGTTTGAGGTTGCTGTGAGCTATGATGACACCACTGCACTCTAGCCCGGGCAACAGAGCGAGACTCTGTCTCAAAAAAAAAAGGTAGAGCCGAGTTGTCAGATCGGCCAGGCTGGACTTGTCTGTAATTTACTTACAAGTTTCTTTACCAGAGAGATGTTTCTTCGTTGACTGAAGCTGTGTGCCTACTCAGGAGCATTCTAGCTCGACTCCGCTTCTCCAGGGCCCTGCTCACTTGTGTTCCTTGGGCTGTCTCGCTCCAGAGTACTGCACTGCCAAGGCGGTCGCGGGGCCTTGCCGCGCAGCCTTCCCACGCTGGTACTTTGATGCTGAGAAGAACGCCTGCGATAACTTTATCTACGGAGGGTGCCAGGGCAACAAGAACAGCTATCTCTCCGAGGAGGCGTGCATGCACCGCTGCTTTGGTGAGTGTGCCTGCCTCCTGAATCCAGGGAACAGTGGTGGCGGACGAGCCCTCCCCTTGAGGACTCCAGTCCATTTCCCATCCCTAAAAGGAGGGCCTTGGGAATGCTTGTCCTTTGGACCCCACTGGGGTGGCAAAGACCTCAGAGCCCCCAGAAGAGCTACAAGAAGTCCCTCAGAGGGAGCCCCCCCTATGAAGACCCTGAGGCTGAGGGGGATCCTGGGTTGGTGGCAGCTCTATGGGGCTGGGGCAGGACTGTGAGCTGACCTCTCTGGGCTGTGTGTTCTCTTCCAGGCAAGCAGATCTATCCTGTCCTGCCCCCTGGCACCAAAGGTAAACGGCCCCTTGCCCTCCTCCTGCCATCTGCCTGCCCCCTTCCTTCCTTGAGTGAGCTCAGCTCTGCCCAGCTGTGGTTTTGCTTGGACAGATTGTCCTTCCCTGTAAACATCTTTTTGGTAGAAAGTTGTTTCTACAGGAGAATGGCAAGGCAGCTTGGAACATGTGGCGGCTGTTTGTCCCACTGTGCAGTGTATACACAGATGGCTGCAGTGAGTCAGTAGTTCACAGGACAGGCTCCGCCTGGCCGGCTGGGTGACTAGGGGACAAAGACTAACTTTTAGGCGTGTGGGGACTGCCGAACACAGGCCTGAGGCTGGCCCGAGGTGTGGAGGGAACTTGGCTGCTGTGGGGTACAAAGAGTTGGTCATGGGCCACGGGCCTCTGTTTTCCCCAGGCAGTCAGGCCTGCCCAGGAGGCGGGGTGTCCTCTTATTTTGGTTTCTGAGCTGAGCACGGATGGTGATGTTGGTACAAAGGACCTGCCACACTGGTTTGGCCTCCTTCTCGACGTGTTTCCCTGTTAAGGAGCCAAGACCTGGCCTGCCAGTCCGCTCCAGTCTAGAGCTAGGACCTGGTTCGGCCGGTGTGGGGTTGGAAAGCAGCCAGGTCTGGAGCGTTAGTGGGTAGAACTGGAGAGAGGGGATCGCCCCAAAAGGGCCGGCTCTAAAGTTCCACAGCCAAGTCGGGGAGGGGGCCAGGTGGCTGCCACGGGAGGTCACATTCCTTAGATGGAGCCCCACCGGAGAAAAAGCATCTTAACTGACCAGTGGGACTGCAATGGGGCAACTTGAACTTGCCTGGCAGTTGGGAGCAAAGGGTCCCCTCCCAACACTGTGCCTAATCCACCCTGGCCTCCACCCCGACTTCATTCCACAGGTGGCTCTCAGCCACCTCGGCCACCTGCAGGGTCACATCCCTCTCTGTTGCTGGTCAGAGGGGCGTGGGAACACACAGCCTTTGGGGTTTGATGTTTACGCACATCAAAGGTCAGTATATTTTACACCTGTGCATCTGTAGGCCTGGGGCTCCGATACAGGTTGTCCCGAGAGGTGGCAGGGGAGTGCGGAGTCGAAGTGGGTTTTTAGTTCACAAAGAAGGAACACAAACGTCCACTCTGGATGCGCACATAGCATGGGATTTCCTTTTTTCGGGGAATCTCCTTGGCGACTTCCCTGGCAGGCCGTGTCAGAGTTCTCACCAGCTGCGGTTCTCCAGCAGCCTGGGTTGGGAGGGGGCGTTGGTCCTCGCCCTGAGCCCACTTAGATTCCCTGTGTCCTGGATGAGCTGCTGTCCTGCCCGGCTCTGGCTGTGTCCCTCCTTGTCTCGCCAGTCCTGAGGCCTCTCTCTCGTCCCCAGTGGTGGTCCTGACGGGGCTGTTCGTGATGGTCCTGATCCTCTTCCTGGGAGCCTCTGTGGTCTGCCTGATCCGGCTGGCACGGAGGAACCAGGAGCGTGCCCTGCGCACCGTCTGGAGCTCTGGGGACGACAAGGAGCAGCTGGTGAAGAACACATATGTCTTGTGAATGCCCTGTCACCAAGAGAATTGGGGGGGAGGGGGGAATGTGTGTGTGCTTTTTTAAAATAGAGTGATTGATTTGTATTTGTGAAGATCATTAGGGCTTTGGTGTGTTTGTTACTCCGCAAGATGAGAAGGCTGCTTTCTGGTCTCACCGTGGGTTAGTTTGGAGATGCTCTTAGGGAAGGGCTCTTGGCCACGTCGCCATTGGTCAGGCAGCAGCCCCAGTCGTCTCCTCGTTATTTTTTGTCTTTTTTTTTTTTTTTTTTTTCCTCCTAAAGGATTCTTTCCTGGGTCATTATTTTTCTTTCCTCCAAGTGTAGTTTCTTTGGTTATGTTGAATTTCATTGCGTCCTTTCTCATCACAAAAGTGATGTTACAGTAGTTCCTTTGGTTTGTTTGATTCGTGTTTTTTTTAAGCAAGCATAAACAGAAGTTTTTTTTATTAGGATTCTGAAAGGAAGAAAGTAAAATGTACAAGTCTAATAAAAAGGGCCTTCCCTTTTAAAATAAATTTCAGCATGTGCTTTCTTTTTTTATGGGACTTAAATTCTACCAAAATTATCACAGAACACTGTGTGAAATGTCCCATTCTAGAAAGAGACCCCTGCAAATAGCATCTTTCAGATCTTCTTGAATGTAGCTGACAATACGAAATAAAATTTACATTCCCAAGTGCCCGTAAAGTTTCGCCAAGCAACACTACTTAGCCTCACTACCTGTGGTGAACTCTGATATTTTCTTATTCTATTTCACTTCTTAAAAATCCTGGCCACAACCTTGATGACCTACCGTGGACCGTAACCTACACCTTGAAACACTGCCTTGGAGGACACTGGAGGGTTGGAATAAGGACGCATCCCTTCCAGGGAAGACCAGGACCTTCCTGGGATTGGAGTGGGTTTAACAAGAGCCACTGTGGCATCGCGACTCTCATCTCTTGCAGTTCTGTGCGCTCCCCATCTTGAGGGGTGGAGGGAGGGCAGCTCCTGCTCAGGCCTTGTGTCGCCTCGGCTGGGATCCTCTGTCAAGTCTCCCGCACCCCCTGGGTTGGCACAGACTGAGCACCACCAGACGAATTTGGCCCCCAGGCTCAGGCCCAGTCCCACCTCCCCGCGGGTGTTCCTTCCCCGTTTCTAGACTCTAGCAGCCCTTTCCTCCCCTCCTCCTTCAAATAGGGCCGTCCTGAGGTCAGGCAGGTGGCCTGGGCCGCCACCTGTCTCAGAGATGCAGGCGGCTGGGCCCCCACTCCCAGAGTGGCCAGGTGCCGCGCACAGTTCCCGATGCTGCTTTGCGCTCTGCCTGGAACAGAGGCCTTGGGCGTCCTTTGCTTGGCCCTTCCTAGAAATCCCTTAGGGCTTAAAAATCTATTCTAGAAGCAAGTTGGGCAAATACCTCATCTGCTCCCTCCTGCCTCGCTCGCCCATGCAGCTGTTGCTAACGCATTCTGACGCGCTGCCAGCACTGGGCACTCAGCGCAGCTGGCTCAGATTCAGTGAGCAAGTGGAACCTCCTGGCCATGTCCCAAACAAATTGGACCCCAGAGCTTTGCACAAGCCTGAGGTCCAGGGAAAGAGGGTCTGGGTGTTGGGAAGAGCCTCCCCGCCCCCGACTCTGGGTACGTAGCAGTAGGCAAGCCACTTAACTCCCGTGACCCTGCCGAGCCCTCCCCTGTTGGGGGGGCTGCTGTGCGGGCTGGGTGACCACACAGGTGTCAGGTTGTGCTGTGCCTAGGCCGTGCTCAGGGACAGCCTGCTTCAGGCTGGTGTCCTGCCCCTGCCCACCCACCTCAGGAGTTAGTGGCTCTCCCTGCCCCTGCCCCACACCCCATGAGCAACGTTCAGATCCACCCCTTCCCACTGCTCCACTCCTGTTCCCTCTTTGGGTTCAGGAAGCCACACCCACCTGTGCCTCTGGCCTGGAACGAGACCTTTCTCCACTGACTTCAACAAGAGTTGCCTCTCTCTCACATCATAGTCACGGAAAGGAAAAACGTGCATTTGGATTTTTTAAAAAATTGGTGGGGCCGGACACTGTGGCTCATACTTGTAATCCTAGCATTTTGGGAGGCTGAGGTGAGGCAGGAAGATCTCTTGAGGTCAGGAGTTAAAGACCAGCCTGGGCAATATCATGACCCCATCTCTACAAAAAATAGAAAAATTAATGGAGCGTGGTGGTGCGCACCTATAGTCCCAGCTATTTGGGAGGCTGAGGCAGGAGGATCGCTTGAGCCCAGGAGTTGGAGTCGAGGTTGCAGTGAGCTATGATGATACCACTGCACTCCAGCCTGGGCTATGGAGCGACACCCTGTCTCAAAAAAAAAAAAAAACCCCGCAAAAAAAACCTGTTGGGAATCACTTTAATTCTACTGCAGTAAGAAAATCAAGTGAATTCTCTTCTGAACAATTAAGCTTTTGTAGGTTTTTACTACAGTATGCCTTTTATGTGTTTTCTGATGCACAAGCTCCCACTTAACTTGCTGCTTCTGCTAAAATTTGTCCTTGTCTCATGGTGAGGCAGGCGCCACCTGCTCCTGGCAGATTGGCTGCATCAGGCCTTTTGGCCCCTCATGGGCCACCAGCGTGGTATCTCACCACAGCTGACACTTCTTCAGGTCACAGTGCTGCTGCTCCAGTCTGGTCCGCCAACTTCCTGCCATGCCATTGTGGCCCTTGAAGCTAAACTGTCATGTGTTCAACTCTGGACCATTTTCAGGCTGACAATGGTATTCTTGTCGCACAGGCTGCCCAACAATGGGCCAGTGGCCAAGGTATTCAGTGGGCATTTCACACCTCCCTCATCTCCAGGCTGCTCAGGCCGGCGCGGTGGCTCACGCCTGTAATCCTAGCACTCTGGGAGGCCAAGGCAGGAGGATCACTTGAGGTCAGGAGTTCGAGACTAGTCTGGACAATAGCGAGACCCCGTCTCTACAAAAGAGAAGAACAATTAGCTGGACGTGGTGGCCCATGCCTATAGTCCCAGCTACTCGAGAGGCTGAGGCAGGGAGATCATCTGACACTCTGCTCCACATTTTCAGATATCTTTAGAGCCTAGACTGTGTTCGGGAGCCTGAGGCAGGAGGATTGTGTCAGCCCAGGAGTTTGAGGTTGCTCTGATCTATGATGATGCCACTGTACTCTAGCCTGGGTAACAGATTTAAAAAAAAATTTTTTTTTAAATCAACTCATTAAAAACAAAAAATAAATCAGCTCAGATTTCTCACTCTGCCTTCTCGTGGTCTACACGCTTTGGTAAGGCCGATGGTGTGGCTGTCCCCAGAAAGAGTTTCTCCCTAGTCCATCTCCTGGGGAAATATCGGACAAAGGGCTAGGGGGTTATATAGACTGTTTTAAAAATTTGGGATTCTACCCTCATGGTTCCTGAGATGAATGATGCATCTTGCTTCCCCCTGGTGTCAAGCTCGGGGCCCCCCCAATGGGTGCAGCCTCCAGGTGGCAAGCACCCCAGAAGGGGGCCTATGGGATTTAAAATTCTGGTTTGGCCCTCGGGATTCTTTCCTGGACTGACTGGTCTTAGTGCTTTTGTCTTCTGGGAAAGGACTTCGCGCTGCGTGCTTAAGATCATCCATTTCCCGGGATGTGGTTGATTTCAAAGGAAACATTCCAGAACAGGGATTCTGATGTTTATAGGACTGGGACACTCTTTTTCACATAAACTTCAGGAAAGAAGTAAACCAGTTCTTGCAGCAGTTGCTTTTCCGATCAACCACGTCAGCCCTCAGGCGTGCAGGAGCGTGAGACTCCCACGGAGAACCATTTCTCCCATGAGCCACCTCTCGATCCTACACCATCTTGGCTTCTGTGTCCACTAAAGTTTACAACCAGAAATCTCACCCTAAATTGCAGTGATTAAGTAAAAACTTCAGGATTCAAGTAAACCCGTGAAGGATGTCTGCTGGTGAAACGTTAGAGAACAGGTAAGCTGACGTACGAGTGAACGTCATCAATATTGCTGCAGTTCAAGTTGGGAACACAAATCCCTTTTTTCTGCAGGGGAGAAGGCACTGTTTCCACCCTTTCACCAAGGCATTGCAGGCAGAAATAATTAAGAGCACAAGCAGGGGAGGGCAGAGCCATTAGATGCCAAAGCAAGATTGACAGGAATCCTACATTCCACCTGTGCCCATTGATAGGTAAGGAGTGGCCAGGGCCAGGCAGGGCCGGGGAGAGGGACAGATGTAAGCTACTGCCCCTGCCCCTGTTAGTCATGGTGGATGAGAACTGAATGGCAGGGAACTAATATTTTGCAAAGAGCAGAAGGACAGCCAGGCTCTTGTCTTTGGACCTCACACCTGTTTCCCACCTTTCTGTGTTCACATGCCCAGCTATAATCTTAGCTTCTATTTGTAAATCTGGGCCAGGCAGAGCAGGGGAGTAAGGGACAGCTGCCACCAGTAGGGAGTAGTGACGGAAACAGGCACCCATGTCCGTTTTCACCGTTTTTCCAGTAACAGAAGTCCCAGGTTTTACTCAGCTAAAAATAACATTTTCCAGCCTCTCTCGCAGCTAGGCATGACCATCAGTCCTGGCTAAGGAGTTGCATATGTGTGCTGCTTCCAGGTCAGGTCCTTAAAAGGAAGTGGTGCACTCTCACTTGCCCTTTCCCTTCCTGAGAACCTGATGGTGGGGGCTGGCCACCCCATAGGTCCCAGGTCCCTGGAGGGATGCAGAGCAAGAAGACGGAAGGAGCCTGGGTCCCTGGATGATCTCACGGAGAACATACACTTACCCCTTCTGGGCTCCCACCAGCTCAGGCTTTCCTATAAGAGAAAGGTGATACTATCTTCTTGAAGCCTCTTTTGGGTCTCTCTAAAAGCTGCCAGACCACATCCTTAATACAATACAGGAGTGAATGGATGGGAGTCCCCAGGACCAGGCCAGATCTCCCTCTGCCCATTCACCTCCGAAACGTTAGCATGGCCGTAAAGAACTACTACATCTTTAGGACCTGGAAGGTCTCACACTGTTACTCCACATCGTACTGGCCTGGTGTCCTTGGGCAAGAAACTGCACCTTTTTCAGTCTCATTTGCCTCATATAGTACACGGAGATCTGGCC